CAGCAGCAGGAGTAGTAGTAGTAGTAGTAGTAGCAGAAGCAGGAGTAGTAGTAGTAGTAGTAGTAGTAGTAGTAGTAGTAGTACTAGTAGTAGTAGTGGTAGTAGCAATAATAATAATAGTCATAATATCAGCACATGTTCATTGTTGTTAATATTCGTAATAAGCCTTGCGAGAATAACAATAATTACTCATAATAATGATCATAGTAGCAATAAAGATCTGATCATAAGAATCAGAATAGTAACACCAACAATATAACAATAGCAATAACTCTAACACCAGGATCTGGGGGCATTCGACAACGTTGTTCGCACTTGCTGTTGATTGTTTTTTTGGGTTTGGGGTTTAGTGTTTAGGGTTTAGGGGTTCAGGGTTTCGGGTTTTAGGGTTTAGGGTTTAGGGAGGGTTTAGTGTTTAGGGTTTAGGGGTTCAGGGTTTTGGGTTTAGTGGTGTGAAGTTCCGAATGCAAATGTCCGCAGCCACGAGGTTGACTTACCTCGCCCTGAATGAGCTACCTAGCCCTTACTGCAGCACCCTTGCTTCATAATCTACTTCGATTCATGCTACAGGGTCCTATGCAACAAAAGCAGCGAAACCAATTCAAAGGCATCGCAAGTTGGTGGCTGTCTAGCTAGGGGACCAGAAGCTCTTTCAAGGCCTTATACGCACAGCTCGAAGCCCCAAATGTTAAAATGGCTCGATCCTACCAAGGGTTCACGTTTCAGGGTTTAGGGTTTAGGGTTTTGCTAAGGGTATTGATGCAGCTAGATGGTCTGAGAGGGATGTGGCCTCCTAAAATTGCTAAATCCTAAACTGCAAACACTATATACCCTAAACCCGAACCCCCCCAAACCCTTAACCCCTAAACCGTAAGTCCTAAGAGTCTAAACCATCCAAACTACGAAGCGACCTTCAAACGTAAACTCAGAACCCTTGTCAAGCCTAAACTTGGTCCGAAGTGCCCTAAACCCTAAACCCTAAAGCCTTACCAGCGCAGGCTGGGTCGCAGGCCTTGTGCTTGCAAGGTGACACCAACTGGCTGCTACAGACTCCCGGCAAGCCGAGAAGGAGCCCATGTCCAACTTGGGGTTCTTCTGGTTGGCTCTTAGGACTTTAACTTTTTGGGTTTCTATATAACTATAATAAGGAGACTAAAAGCTTAACTTTTTGGAGGGGTTCAGAAGTCAGCCAAGCAAATCCCAGTGAACCCTTAAAGGGGCCTCCTTAGAATCCGGTGAAGACAGCTAAGAAGCTTCATATAGGGGCCTCAATCATTACCAAGGCTATTTGGGAGCTCCTTATTATAACTATAGCATCTTATACCCGAAACCCTATTTTGATTATTAAGGCTCCGACATTATGTCCAAATCCCAGTGACCCTTAAAAGATGCCGGTAGAACCCGGTGGAGAAAGCTAAGAAGCCTATACGTGTCCCCAAGGGTCCATGTGCCCATATAGTATATACATTGACCCTAAAGTACCTAAATAGGAACTACATTAAGGCCAATGTATATACTAGATGAGTACATTGACCCTTAGGGTAGGACTCCAGAACCCGGTGAAGAAAGCTAAGAAGCCTATATTAATTATATAGACCCTAAACCCTAAACCCTAAACCCTAAACCCTAAACCCTAAACCCTAAACCCTTAGGGTTTAAACCCTGGGGCCCTCGGCCCTGGACCCTGGGCCCTGTATGTAGGATTGTAGGACTCCAGAGCCCTGAAGTCTCAGGTGTTTTCGTGTGCCATTCCCGGGGCCTGACACCCCACACGTCTAACGCTGACCCGAAGTTCCCTTTTGGGTTTAGGGTTTAGGGCTTTGGGTTTAGGGTTTTAGGATTTAGGGTTTAGGGTTTAGGGGTCGGCTCGTTCATTTCTGTGCCGAAACGGGCTTTACACGCCTACATCATCGTCATCATCAGCAACGGCAATAGCAAGGACAGCAGTAATTAGATCACGATTGTCGGCCGCCTCATGCCGTCTTCGTCGCCGTCGTTGTTGTCGTCCTCGCCGCCGTCATCATCCTCACCGGCACGAGGGTCGCCAGCACTTTCAAGATCATTGCGAACTCCGTTCGTTCACCATCACCACCATGATGCTGAACAAGCACAGTGCCGACTTGCGATGTCTGCCGCAAAATGGTAGTCAGATTTTTTCTTTCGACTGCAGCGACAGCAGCCAAAATGGTCTAATACAGAAGCCTACATAATTACCTATATTATTGTTAGGGTTCTTTATTAACATAATACCATAAAGGAGCCCAAAACCCTATTCTAATTGTTAAGGCTCCTACATTACACAGAGCAAGCACCACTCAAGAAGTCTTGCTCCTGCTGCTGCACCTCCTCCCCTTCCTGCTCCTCCTCCTCCTCCCAGAGAATCCGATACTAATACCCCTTACATAAGGAATATACCTTAAAATATAGGGGCCTAAATATTACGATTTAAGGTACATTCCTTAATTAAGGAGTATTGGGCTCTCTGGGCCAAATCCTCCTCCTGGCCCTGCTCCTAATCAAAACGACGACGCCGCCGAGCGGCAACGCTCCTGCTCGACAAAACGCGAATGGGAAAACTTGGCAATCAATATAGGGGCCTAAACAATTACCTATACTATTTTGGGGCTTCCTTATTATAATTCTAGTATAATATGCCCCAAAGCCCTAGTCTATTTATTCAGGCCCCTACATTAGATGTTTGCCTGATGTCCCAGGCATAGAACGAAGATGAATGAAACCTTTGACAGCACGTAGGTGAAACTCGACTCTTGCGCACCCCAACCCTAGAAACCATCAGCCCTATACGGCCTAAAACCCTAACACCCGAAAGCCCTAAACCCGAACACCCTAACACCCTAACACCCTAAACCTTCTTGTCAATCTTGGCCTCGTGTTTATCCCGGATCAGCCCCATCGGCCGATCGCGAGAGCTGCTAGAGAGCTCGAGTGTCCAAAGCATCCAAGGTGACTTGCTGCCTTAATAATGAGAAAGGGATGTTCATGTGCTTTTATTCTGTTTGATGCGGTTTGAATACGGGGCCTCACTGATTCGATTTCGAAGAGTGTTTTAGGCTATATCGTATTAAGTCTGCATAAAATGCAGTTGTTAGCAACGGCCGTACAGTGATTTACTTGTCTGATGCTGGGGTGACATGAAGCCCCACGCCTAGGAATGCAGATGGCCTTGGCTTCGTGAAGTATTGTGGTTGGGCTCCGTATCGGCGCCCTCTGACTGACCCTGACTTTCGGAACGACACGGACTGCCGGGATGTGATGCTACTTTCATGAATCAGGGGGGTTATCAAATTATGGGTACTTCTGAGCGTTGTTTCAGGTCTTTGTGGGGGCGCTCAAACAGGTTTCAGGGGCCGTGACCCAAGTAGCTGAGTATCCACCTCTGCCAACCCTTTTCCCAAAGGGTCCAGTGTACCTATATAATTGAATGTAATATACGTTTTCTATATTACTTAGGAATTATGATTAGGGAAGGTATCCCCTAAACCCTAAACCCTAAACCCTAAACCCTAAACCCTCCCATAGAAGAACCTAGAACTCCTTGGGTTTCGCCTTCTGCACCCTAAAGCCTCAGCCCCATAAACCCTAAACCTCTACCAAGACCAAAAAACCATCGGGCTTGGCGAGCAGTGCGATTCAGTTCAAGTTGGGTTTAGGGTCTAGGGTGTAGGGTTCAGGGTTTAGGCATGTTTGGGATTTAGGGTTTACGGTTTCCTGGTAAAGCTTGAGTTCTCCCAAGCCGGAAATTCGGTGAACCTAAAGCCCATATCCCTGAACGGCCCCTGAGACCGAGATGACAAACTTCCTAAAGCCCAAACCCCGAATCCTAAGCCATCAAAAAGCAAGGATCCTAAGTACCTACATGGGGGGTCCGAATTCAAACCAGAGTGGAAGTCTGAACATCGCAGCTTTCGTTACTTTCCGCGCGGACGATCTGCCTGTAGTCTCCATTGTAGTTCCTTCTTTTGGTTAAACCAATTTTATACTTAGGATCCTATAAGGGAACCCCAAAAAGGAACTACAATGGAGACTATATAGAAAGCAGATCTCTTCGAGGCTTCAGGTTGTAGGGTTTGGGACCTCTCGTAGTATAACCCTAAACCCTAAACCCTAAACCCTAAACCCTAAACCCTAAATAGGCTCCCAAAGAAGGGTGTTCACTTTCTGGATCCTCCAGGGTCTGGTTTAGGGTTTAGGGTTTAGGGTTTAGGGTTTAGGGTTGCAGTGTCTAAGTCTTACCCTCCAAGGGCTCATAGTTTACGGCTTTGGGGCCTAAAGACGCTATTATGTAAGGCTTTTGGGCTATTTTGAATCTGAGGCTAAGTCTAGGTACCCGGGAGTCTTTAGAAAATGTGGAAAACTTCATAGAACACCATACAACCCAGCAGCCTCCTGCAACACCCTTGCTCCTGAACCCTCAGGGTCCATGTACCGCAAAAACCGATGGGTCCGAAGTACCTGCATAGTAGAATGTAGGGTTTCTGCAATAGAATTTTTATTATGGTTTGGGACAGTAGCCCTCATATCAGTACCTGGGACCCTTTAGGTAATGATTGCCTTTGCCCGAAAGTAGCCCATAAAGGGGAATACTTGAAGGCCAAAGTCAAATATATATATATATATATATGGGTTATATATATATATATATATAAATATATATACACACATACATATATATATATATATTACATACTACATACCTCAAGGCTGCAGCCACATCGGGACTACATCGGCGCCTGTGCGTTGGAAGAGTGTCAGGGACTGGAGGACGGAGTGGCTACTCAGGGGCACCATATTTAAATTCATATACTTGACACCCTATATAACCTACCTTGTTGGGGTTCCTTCTCACGAGTTCCAAATATGTGCATGTATCTGTATCTGTATATGTATGTATGTATGTATGTATGTAGGTAGGTAGGTAGGTAGGTAGGTAGGTAGGTAGGTAGGTAGGTAGGTATGTAATGTATGTATGTATGTATATGTATGTCTATATCTATATCTATATCTATATCTATATCTATATCTATATATATATACACACATATTTATGGTCCTTACACCGGTGGTTTACTTGGTGTTAACCTCAACCCTAAACTGGCCCTTAACCCTCGAGTTTCTTGGCGAGGTTGTTGTAGATCTCTAAACTAGGGTCCCTTCGTCGGGGGCGCTTTTCACCAAAGCCACGCAAACAGCCCTGCACTCTTTAAGTCTTTCATCCTCCAAAACCCTAACCCCCTAAACCGCTTACATCCGCAAACACCCTAAACCCTAAATCCCTAGTCCCTACCCTAATCCGCCTCAGGAGCTCCGAAAGGACGTAAGCATAAGCATTTGACAGGGATATCCATACCATAATTGATTATCGGCTCCGTTATCAAGGAGGTTGCTATGAGATATATCTCTTCTAGGTGCCGGTTCATGTACCACTTGTTTTAGGGTCATATCCTTTGCTTAAAGTACATTGGTTACTCTAGGCTTTCCCTTGTCCCTAATTCCTAAAGACCCCCAAAAGCCCCTTAACTACCGTTATTCCTATCTGGGCCCTAAACCCTAGGCCCTAAACCCTCAACCCTAAACCCAAAACCCGAGACCGCTGGCAGGACTGCGTCGCGCGCTGCGACCTCTGTGCGAACTGCTCAGCCGTGTTGTACAACAGCCGGGAGGCGAGCGGAATCCGGCGGCCTGGCGCACGTTCTCCTTGTGGGTAGTTTTCTAAATTAGGGTCCCTTTTGTCCAGGGTTTAGGGTTTAGAGTTTAGGGTTTTTACCTATAGTCTCCATTGTAGTTCCTTTTTTGGTTCAGCCAATTTTATATTTAGGATCCTATAAGGGAACCCCAGAAAGGAACGACAGTGGAGACTATAGGTAGACCTTAATGTAGGGACCTAAATAATGACCTGAATTTTTGTTTCGGGGTTCCTTGCTATAATTATACTTTAGAGGGGCCCAAAAACCCTACTCAAATTATTAAGGCCTCTGCGTGAACCTTAAACCCTAAGCTTCAGGACCAAAAGACCTTCAAGACCGGGGAGCCCAGACCCCCTTGTACTATGAATCCCTATTATGGCATATGAACCTTTAGCCCTTTTAGGGGTTCATTTCGTGTGCCTGGCGCTCGTTCTCCTTGTAGTAGATTCGGTAACCTTTCATCTTTTTGGGGAACTATAATCCCTATGTGCTTTCAAAGGTTAACCTTTCGTTGGGCAGGGTGCTGGACAAGTAGGTTCTTGCTACAGGGGTTCTTTCGAGGGTTCCTTTGAGGGTTCTTTTCAGGACTCCTCTAGGGTTCCCTAGATTTTTTTCTCTAAGGGTTCCCTTAAGGGCTCCCTTAATGGTTCCTTTCAGGGCTCCCTTAAGAGATCCTTGGAGACTTCTTGTGGGGAATTCCGTAAAGGGTGTCCTTAAGGGCTCCTGTACTATGGGGGCCTAAAGAATTACCAATACTATTTTTTTTTGGGGGGGGTTCCTTGTTATAGTTATCGTCTGATATGCTCCCCTATTCTAATGACTAAGGCCCCTACACTCGGGGTTCCTTGAAGGGTTCCTTTAAGGAGGGTCGCTTAAATGGCTTCTTGAACGGGTGCCTTCACTAGTTCCTCTAGGGGAGGGCAACAAGAAGGGCTTCCGTAAATGGTTTCTTCAGGGGTTTCTGCAGGGGTGTTTTAAAGGGTTTCGATAGTGGTTCCTTTTAGGATTACCTTCAGGTTCCTATAAGGGGTTCTTGAAACCCCAAACCCTAAACCCTAAACCCTAAACCCTAAAGGGTTCCTTTTTGGATTCCACGGGTTTGGGGCTCAGGGACATAACAGAAAGGAGCCCAGGACCCCCTTGGTTAAGGACTATTGCTTACCGAATACGGGGGCTTTATGCTATGACTTAAGGTATAGGCACTTCTAATACTAGGACTTAAGGGAGGTAGTTATGTATTATTACATGGGCATCGGGTTCTCGGGCTGGAATAGTTGCCAATGCCGTTCCTCGGGGTTCCCTAGTCTAGAATGCACCTTCTTCTTATGATGGGGGCCCCTATGTGGGTGGTTGTCAAAATTATGGTCCCTTTTTGGGTCCTTATTATAGTACGGCACCTATTATTTAGGGTACCCCAAAAGGGACCATAATTTTTGACAACTACCCATGTGACCTGAGGCCCGAAAACGGCACACAGATTTCATCTGCAAATAAGGCTTAGCTAAGGTGACGGTTGGTCGAAACCTTAAACCCTAAATCCTAAACCCTAAACCCTAAACCCTAAACCCTAAACCCTAAACCCTAAACCCAAACCCTATTAGGTCCTCCTGCAATACTGTTCGCATGCTTCTGCCAATACTGCTAGGGACTCTGCGCTGACAGCGAGCCTGTGAGACCCTGCATCTACCCTCTTTTAGGCCCTAAGTACGTATTATTTGGGACCATATACCCCCTGAGCCCTAAACCCTAAGCCCTAAACCCTAAACCCCTAAACCCCTAAACCCTAAACCCTAAGCCCTAAATCCTATTTGAGGGTACAAGGAGGGTCCTGCCTGCTATGATTCTTTATTTGCAGCTTCGTGGAGACTCTGAAAAGCCCAAGGCTCGATACTCGAAGATCCAAGCCCCAATAGCCATGGGTTCAGGGTCCCTTCAAGGGTACTATGGGGCTTTCGGGTTTGGGTTTGAGGGTTTAGGGCTTTAGTGTTAGGCTTCAAGGTTTAGGGCTCAGGTGTCACATGCAGAGCAATGTCTACGTCGAGTCTCTGGAGCGCCCCGGCCGCATGGAGAGCAGCAAGGCAGTTCGAGGCAATGTCGAAGCACAATGAGATGACCCTTGGCATGTCCTTAGTTCCCCAATACCCAACCTTTAAACTGTTCGGGTTCTTATAAGTGAGTAGTAATCTGAAAGTTTGACCTTTTATTTCCCTGGCGTATTTGGGGGAGGAAGTGTCTCAGCATGTCTACTTGCATTTGTGCATCTTTACGTGTGTGCATCGGTACACATACGTTGCGTTGTTGCTGTACACATGTTGAACATTGGTGCTGCGGAAAAGCCCACAGAGATGCGCACAGAGGGAGATGTCATGAGTGTTTGTATTTGATATGTATACACGTGCATGGGTATGAATATATGTACTTCTGCAACAATGTACGTATGAATATATGTACACTATGCATATGTACATGTGTTTCTATATGCTTGTATTTTTGAACTGACTTAGATAGTGTGAGAGAGAGAAGGACGGGCATTTATTTTGGTATTCATAGAGAGAGAGAGAGAGGTGTGTGTGTGTGTGTACATGTACAGGTGTGTATGTGTACATAACCTGTATATTACACACATGCACGTATAAATTAATATATACACACGCATGCATATGTTCGTCCCAGTTGCTGCAGCGGCGGGGCATCTAGAGGCATACAAGGCGTGCACATGGTCTCATCCGCGCCATGTGCTGCGAGGAGCGCAGCGTTGCCGGTGGCATGGTCCTTCTATGCGCCCCGGCAAGTTGACTCAAGTCTGACCATCGACGGTTGAGGGTTTAGGGTTTAGGGTTTAGGGTTTAGGGTGTAGGAGTTTAGGGCTTATCTTAAACATCCTAAACCCCCAACATAAACTTCAAGCCCCAAGCCCTAGCCCTTAAAATGCCAAAACCCTGTACCTCAACCTCCAAGCTTTGACGCCTCGGCCCCTGACCCCTACTTAAGAGCTCAAGGGACTTAGGCAGTAGGGTTATAATTGTGGCTATAAACTGTCCTAAGTAGGGTTATCCTACTTATAGTTTTACTTATGTCACAACTAAACCCTAAACCCCTACACCCCTAAACCCTAAACCCTACAAACCCTAAACCCTAAACCCTAAGCCCTGAACCATACTTATTAAGTCCCCAGCCCTGAAGGTTGGACGCCAAGCCCTGAATGCCCTTGATCCTGACAGGTGCCAACGGAAGAAGACCTCAACAAAGCCATCTCTGAACCCTAAAACCTAAACCCTAAAGCCTAAACTCTAAACCCTAAAGCCTGAAGCCTAAACCCTAAAGCCTAAACCCTAAGCACATTCTTTCCAAGATCCCTAAACCCTAAACCCAAACCAAGAGCTTGAGGTCAACGAGCGAAACATCGGCTGCCGCCCGGAAGCCGAGACAGACCTTCTAAGCACGCGAGGCCTTCGGCACCACACAGTTTAGAGTTTAGGGTTCAGGGTTTAGGGTTTAGGGTTTAGGGTTTGGATCAACAAGACACGTAAGAAGTTTAGGGTTTAGGGCTCTGGGTTTCGGGGTTTAGGGTTTAGGCACCAAGAGGGATCAAAAAGACACGTGGGAAGTTTAGGGTTTGGGGGTTTTAGAGGTTTAGGAGTTTAGGGTTGAGGGTTTTAGAGGTTTAGAAGTTTAGGGTTTAGGGCTCTGGGTTTCGGAGTTTAGGGTTTAGGCGTTTAGGGTTTAGGGCTGGGCATTTGAACATCAAGGTGCACATTATTGGCATATTTGGTGTCGTTTTGACATGTTCCTTTATGGTAGGCTCGATGATCGCTCTTTCTTACTCCTGGTCCGAAAAGCTACAGAAACGCAAACCAGCCCCATCACAACGGCGGGGATGCTGGGTTTGGGTATTGGGCACGGTTTAGGGTTTAGGGGTTTTGGGTTTAGAAGGCCAATTCTGTTACCAATACCTATAGGCTCCATATCCATAATAGTTCCTTTTGGTGGCTTACATTGAGAATCCTACAAGGTATTCCCCAGAAGGGACTACAATGGAGCCTATGGGTACTTGCAGGGTTTAGGGCATAAGCTTCGGGGTTCAGGATACAAGGGCTTATCTCGATATAGGTAATGTCAGCGCCTTAATGATGAGAACAGGGTTTTGGGGCCGTTTATTTCTACTATAGTTAGAATCAGGAACCCCCAAAATAATATAGGTAATTATTCCCTAAACCCTGAACCCTAAAACGTAAACAAAAAAACTATAGACCCTGAACCCTAAGCCGTACCTCGTCCTGCCCTCCACAGAAGCGCTATGCTAGTCATGAAAGTTGATATAGGACCCTAACCCCAAAGAACCCAATACTCCGTAAAGAAGGTATATGCCGTAAATTATGGCATTAAGGCCAACATATTAAACCCTAAACCCTAAATATTAAGGCCCCTATAATTTAAGGTCTGTTCCTTTAAGGGGTATCGGGCTCTCTTGGACCCCGGAACCCTTCGTCGCTTACTGCATTTAGGGTTGAGGGTTTAGGGTTTAGGGTTTAGGGTTTAAGCTGACCTAGTAGTTGAACGCTCTTTCACACCTTCCAGCAGTGTAAACAGCAGCAACTAAAATGCCGAACCCTCGCCCAGTCCGTATAGCTCCAAGAACAGTGTTAAGAGACGAAGAAAGCGCAACATCCTGTACAGATCCTCTTGCCGGACAGTCCTCAAGTTGGGAATCACTACACTCTTAACCGCTAAGGGTTGAACCCAACACACACACACACAGACCCCGAAAATTCGAACAAACCCTAACCAAAGCGCATCAACCCCATCCAAAAGAAGTTAAACCACCTAAACCCTGGACCACGAAACCGGAGAACCTAAGCTCGATACTCTTTATCCGAAACCCCAGACTTTACAGTACCATTGTAGAACCCTAAACGGACACCCTTAAAAAAGTCTAAACGGAAACCCTTAAACACTGTAAATGGAAACCCGTAAACAAAAAAAACTACAAAAGCCTAAAAAGAGACCCTTAAAGGAACCCTTAAAAACAACTCTAAAATTAAACCCCTTAAAGGAACCCTAAAGCCGTGAACGCCCTGTGAGGCCTTCGCGGTTTCCGTCTCTTCGCCGATCTCGGCTGTTCGCAGGAGCTGGTGCCTGACCAGGCAGGCCGAGAGAGGTTCGGTTTTAGGGTTTTGGGGTTTTAGGGTTTTGCTAAGGTTTTCCGGGTTTTAGGGTTTTGGGGTTTAGGGTTTCGGGTTTTGGGTTTAGGGTTTTAGGGTTTAGGGTTTAGGGTTTAGGGCAGGAAACCCTGAACCCTAAACCCTGAGGGTGCCTTTAAGGGTCACTTTAGGGGTTCCTCTAAAGGTTCCTTTACGGCGGCCTTGACGGGTCACTTTAAGGGTTCCCTTTTACCTTTAGGGTTTAGGGCTAAGGGTTTAGGGCTAAGAGGCTAAGAGGTCTTAGTCACTAAGTAAGGTTTGGGCTTGGGGTTCAGGGTTTTGCTGTCAGGGTCTGGAGTTTGGGGCTCAATTTAGCGCTCTGGGGCAGTATTATAGTATTTTCGTTTGTATATGAAAACTCCGAAGAAGTATTTACAGAAACAAGACTTGTTATAGTTCAAGGGCGCTGAAGGCTTTGCTATGGCTCAAGGGCGCTGAATGCTCAGGGTTCATGCAAGGTTTAGGGTTGAGGGTTTGTTCAGGGTTCAGGTTGTTTTGCCTGTTTCGAGGCCGAAGGGGGGGTTCGTGTTTCGGGGTAGGCGGAGGCACAGGTACGGCTCATTCTGGATTCGTTCTGTCTATCTCAGCTTCAGTCATATAGAAGCCTAAATAATTACAAGGACTATGATGGGGTTCCTTCTTCTAACTTTGGTATAGTATACCCCCCAAACCCTATTCGAATTATCAAGGCTCCTACATTAAGTTTATAAGATTTTGGATGGTTTAAGGGTTTTGGTTCTGGGCCTTGGGGTTTAGGGTAGTGGGGTTCTGGGGTTTTTGGGCATTGGGGGTCTCCGGACTTTAGACTAAACTCCAACGTTTAGAGTTGGGTTTTGAAGAGAGAGAGAGAGAGAGAATGTGAGAGAATGTGAGAGAATGTGAGAGAATGAGAGAATGAGAGAATGCGAGAATGAGAGAATGAGAGAATGAGAGACTGAGAGAATGAGAGAACGAGAGAACGAGAGAATGAGAGAATGAGAGAATGAGAGAATGAGAGAATGAGAGAGAGAGAGAGAGAGAATGAGAGAGGGAGAGAGAGAGAGAGAGAGAGAGAGAGAGCGAGAGCGAGAGGGAGAGGGAGAGGGAGAGGGAGAGGGAGAGGGAGGGGGAGAGGGAGAGAGAGAGGGAGAGAGAGAGGGAGAGA